AGATAGATTACGACTTAAAGTTCCATTACCTGAAAATTCAATGATAATTTCCATTTCAAATGGTGGATTTTTGTATTTCGTTCCATTACAAAAGGGTATCTCAAAAAACCATTCATATTAGCGAGGTCTTTGTATTGATTCCTTTGTATTCAGTTATTTCATGATTTACTGTAGCTACTCTTACTGCCCATAGAATTAAGAGAATATACTAGCAACACCGTTTTTCCTCTAAGCTTTCTTTCCCAATTCCATTAAACTTATAAAAGAGATTTCCACTGATTAGTTCATAAAACACTTATTCTACAGTTCATTACTCACTCTGAAGAAGCTCGAAGATTGCACTTTTAGCAGTCTGCGCATCTCTGAGTCTATCCTCTGTGCTTTGAGTGAACTATCACTTTGCGACTACGTTGCACTGTAATCTCGACTCAACATAGCCTCTCAGCGAACCAGAAAACACATTTATTCTTTGGATAGACTCTGGGAGGTATGGCCCTAGGATAAAGCCAAGAATTCTCTTGATTTTACTTGAACTTGAAATTGAAAGTTAATACCATCGTTTGCCCACGTTCTATCATTGAACACGTTCGTTGAATTGCATAGGACTGTAATAAAGGCCTATTTCATCCTTCCGAGATTTGCCGCAGTAACCCAAAATGCTCAGTGATTCTGTAATACGCCATTTAGAATGTCGTAGCCTCTCCTCCATAGGAGAATTGTTCAAGCTATGCTAATATTAGGCAAATGAATGGCAAGCCAGACTTCAACTCACCGCCCATACAGTTCAATTACTCACGATTGAAATTTGGAGCTTTTAAATCCGCTGTGTCCACAAGTAGGAAACCTCTAATTTTGTGAGCACAGGTCATGCCTAGACTCAATGGCAATAACTAGTGAAAATTCTAGTAGAACTTATTGAAAATTCTAGAAGTTATTAAAAATTCTACTAATTCTACATTCGTAACAAATAAGCTTGTGTAAGTAACATTCTCATTTTTCCGGGGCATTTGCTTCGAAAATTTCGTGCTTGACTAGTCAGCTAATGCTAAGATTTTTTAGAACACTTTAAATTACTGCTATTTCAGCTCAATTCCAAGAAATTTTATAAGGATTTATAAGGTGCATGTCTAAGCGCAATGCATCTGCTACATACTCTCGCACGTTATGTTGCATAAGCTAGTAGCGATCTGTGCCATCTCTTGACTACGTAGCCCAATGTGAATGAAAATGTGTTTTGTTAGGCGCTAGATATGTTTAGGAACTTCTAAATGCAAATTTCCTGAACTGCTCTGTATAAGAAGGTCGTGGCATAGAAATTTTATAAAATAGCTAACAGCAAGTTCGCTTGTATTGCAACGAATAATAAAACCATTGAAAAAAATTTATTTTGAGGCAAACTCAAAAGTTGACAAATAGAGCTAATCGCCCAATTTATATGTTTGTTTATCAAAAGAAACATAACCTTCATATCTTTGAGGTCGTTCAGTCAGCAAGTACTGCAATTTTTTGGGGAAAAAATCAAA